ATCGCGCCAAGACAAACCTGGCTGGGGAACTCTACCACAGAGGAAGAGACAGAGTTTTGGCCACACTCGGGTTTGAACCGCATTCTTCCAAATGGTAGTCAAGTCCATGACCAATTCTGTATCACAGCGATCACTGAAGTCAATATTCAACCCCCACCCTCACTCCCCACCTCCCCCTACAGCTTGTAAGGTGGCATAAAAGACACATACCACCGCCCCATTCATTATACACACAGCAAGTGTTTGCGTATTTTCACATCTGTTTCAAAGAAACTTTTGCTGGAATTAGTACAGGAGTGCGAGGAACAAGACAAGTATAAATATTATATTTACTGACACAATGCAAGGGTACAGATAAAAATATTCACATAAAACGATGAAAATAAAAGTAAAAATACTGGTAAGAGGGAGTGATAATACAAAAATACTGGTGCGAGCAAGTGATAATACTTAGGAGAGTCCATGCTTTATCACAGACTGTACAGAATACTTTTGGAGGCAAATACAGAAAGAAACAAACTTGAGCTTTGAGGAATTACAGCAGGCATGGGCAAACTAAGACGACCTGCAGGCCACTCCGGCAAAGGGGCCACATCCAATTAATGATCAATGTGGCCCACGATGAGTTGACAATCAATAAAAACAACTGTCTGTCTTGGAAATTAATATCAGTAGTTTCCGGCCCACAAGGAAGCAATAGATCAAAATTTTTTTTAAACTCATAAAATGCTCTTGCGTCACATTATGCTATAGTGTCAGTTTTCGTCTCAATTTCGAGAGCTTGGGTATTTCAACCAATTTCACCCAGTTTTCTCCCGTTTTGGCCCACAAGATATTCTGAATCGCTTAATCCGGCCAGTGACTTTGACACGACTGCCCATGCCTGAATTTACAGGGAATCTCCGCAGCCTGACAGAAAAAAAAATGTAAAAGTCTCTCAAAAGTCCCAGCACATTCGCTTACACTTACTGTGGATGTTGAGAGGAGTAAATTTTTCAATCAATACACTTCTGTCCCCACTTGATCACCTTCTTATGCCTCATAGAAGACTTGTATACACTTGATAGAAGACTGTTGTAATGCAATATATAATCTCACACTTTGATTTTAAACAATGCTATGAATGAATTAATAAGTTGAGCATGATCATTCAGAAAAAGATGAAAGTTTACTTCTACTCTGCTACTCTGTTCAATGACAAAGCCTACAAGCTTGGAGAAAAACATTTCTTGATATTTACCATGTGTCCACATCCTGTCAGAAACTTGTTTGCTTTTTTGTTCAAGACTTAAAGAGAATTCAACATTCTAAAATTACTGTACAGCATGCCCTCTACAGATCACCCAGAGAGCACTGGTCAACAGAAAAATCTGTTTGGTTTTGTCAGAAACACAAGACTGCACATGTCATGTTCACAAAAGATTCTCTGCAGGTCCCATAAAAGTTTCTTAATACAAAATCCAGAAGAAAAGTTCAACTCTTTTCAGATAATACTACCATAGTAAATAAAAATCTGGCACATTTACGGTGCATTATACAATACGGTGCATAGCTACAAATAGATGTCCCCGATTGTCTGTGTGGGTTGGCCGCAGTGTCAACAAACATGAACGACCAAAGCAAAACTGGAGAGGCTGAACGTTCATTTATGTGTTAGAAATATAAAACTTGAGAAGCACACAGTGCACAATACTTCGATACCAGCACTGAGACCTTCGAAGACCAGAAAACACAACATACAAACTGCTCAATGCACAAACACCTGAGCTTGGAAGAAATGCTGATCTAAATAATTTCCGATTTAACCCCGTGGCGGGTTCACTAATACTGAGAATAAAGTGTTAGGCAAAAGTGGCTGGACGTAGACAGGGGGTTGACCGTTGGCTTCTCCTGGACTGTCACTTGACCTTTGATCTTCATAAAGATCCTCGATCCTCCAAGACGGAGCAAGGCTGCCCTAGGGTGTCCCCTCCCACACAGCACAGCTCTGTGACAGAGGCAAGCGGCTTTGTAACAGTTCATGAAAGAGACACAAGTCATACCACTATCTATCTACCAGTCATCGATAAAATTTATCACACAAAACAAATACACTTTTGGTAAAAACAGGTAAAAAACTTTACACCTTCGGTGCTATGGGCTCTTTTAACAATGCAGAATGAAACTTCTTCCACAGCAGAAACTTTGTACAAAATCAGATCACATAAACTCATTTTTAAAATACAAAATGGAAAAAACTAACAACACTCATAACACTGAGATAATTGGACATTATATGTTCTCTAGCATTTCCACTGTTTTGATATTACAAGCAATTTACAAAGCTTTTTAGACGTTTGGTCCAGGTGAAAATCTTTCAACCAATGAAAGCAAGTCCACTGAGGAAAACTACCGATGCCGTTTACTCCAGAAATACTAGAACTTTCTACGGAGCTGAAAAAAATGTTGAGTATTCACTGTTTTTTTTTCTCAAACTATGTTCCTCATTTATGAGTGACACTCCTACAGATAAAAACAACCCAATGCTTACATCAAAAAGTGGGGCTCATTGCGTCTTTGGAAATCAGACATCGGATTTCTTCTCCAGCTTGCCAATACAAAAGTGTGCTACTGGTACTTTAATGCTTCTGAGTCTATCACTTTGAAATTAAGTATTTCTCTCTGAAAAGCTATTCTGGTGATAAAACAAAAAACAATCTTTCATTCCACCACAATACGAACCATTCTCCTTGAAAGAAAAATGTTTTTTAATCTAGAAAACAAGAAAACAATATCATGCATACAATGAATATGACAAGCCAGGAAAATGTAAATACAGAATTACATCAAAAAGTGAAATGTTGGAGATTGATTGCTCTGTATCATTCCGAGGTGGGGCCAAACTTATAGCCTCAAATCTTGCATCGATTTACAGAAAAATACAGAAACAATAAAGTGATAGTCAGACTGTTGTAGAGAGTAGTAACAGATTTCACTTTTCTATTCATTTTTCCCTCCATATAAAAGTTGAATTAAAAAAATACATGGGAGCTAAGAGCTCTGTGTAACACGCTGTTGTTGTTGTTGTTGTTGTTGTTGCTGTTGCTGTTGTTGCAGCTAATGTTGTTATCCGTGTAACATGTATATTTGTCGCTCCACACAACAGCACAGACACAGACCCTCGCTGGCCCACTTATGGTCACATGATCATGTTAAATGCTCAGACAATGCACAAAACATATGAGAAAAAAAACAACAAAGTTTGGTTATCATGATAATTTCCCCAGTTTTTTCTTCGTCTCCCCCTGAAAGATGCGATCACCAGCAATAGATTTGTCTTGTTTATCTTGCGCAAGAGAGTAGATAGGGAGGAGGTTAATCTTCTGTTGGGTTGACGATCAAGGGGGCCTCGTATTGCGTGTGCCGCATGCCGAAGCTGAATTTTGGAGCTTGCTTCTTGGTCATGTATACCTGAGGGCAGCAGGGGGGTGGGG